TTTTTAAAACTCTTTTTTCCTTCGAGATTGATTTGATTATTGGCAAATCCAAAATTCGAAGGTTTTCAAACAGTATACATATATATATATATATATATATATATATATATATATATATATATATATATATATATATCAACAACAGTATTTGGGAAATTGGGGAAAAGTGGAAAAAATTTACATTTTGTCATATAATTTCCCCAATATATATATATATATATATATATATATATATATATATATATATATATATATATATATATATATATTAAAAGCTTTTAGCATCAGGTTTCTCATTTTAAAATCCGATATTAATTGCAAAAATTAAAATAAAACTCCATTATTATTTGTAGGCATCTCAAAACAGGCTTAATTATAAGTTTATAAAAGAATACATCAGGTTGTTGAAAGGACAATCAAAACGTGAAGGACGAAAAGTACCATTGGAATTCGAAGTCTTAACATTTAAAATTTTCCACCGTGTCAAAACCTTGCTTATGAAGATGGTGGTATCATTCTCATCTGCACTTATTCCTTATGTCTTTTCTGAAAACACTCTGAGGCAAGTAGGAACCCGTTGTCTTTCTGTGGGCTTTGGAACAATGGAAATTTCATTTAAATCTGAAAGTTTAACTAGTCTTTTCAGATTCAAAGCGATATAACTTTTTAAGATGTCCATATTTTGAGACCCATTTTACGCCATCATTATCATTAAAGATTAGTTCAGTCTTTTTTGTGAGCCACAAATTGTGAATATCTTTTAACAGATGAACGTAATCACAAGGAAAATATTTATTTTCTTCAGTTAACCAAGGTTTTTCGGGGCGTATGATATATAATTTAAAACAAAATACACATTCATTTTCTCGGTTGCCATCACATATTATAGCCTTTACATCAGCTGGTACAGAGGTGATGGCTTGAACTGTTAATTCAGTTTGTTCAAATAAAAAGACTGATTTTAATTTGGAAATTGGAATCAATCTTTTAAGAAATTTTGGATCCTCATCAACATATGTCAACATTATATCAAGTCCTGTTTGAGCAAAAACAGATTGATTGTCAACTGACTTACCAAATAGTTGTTTGCCACAATATAGTAGAATTTTCTTGATATTTACTTCATCAGGGAGAATTATACAATATATATCGGAACGTTTCTTCCTATATTGACCAAATATCAACTGTATTTATACGGTTTTCTGACAGGCTGCTAATATAGCACTTAACTTCATAATGAAAACGTTCAAACCGCAATTTTTTTCATAAATTTCAACATGAAGAGAAGGATAACATCGATAACTTTTGGCGACTAAACAGATAAAATATTTTCAACCAAAAATGCTACAGCTAGAAATACAGTCTTTTTTGAGGATGATTAGGCTTTCTTTCAAATTTGTAGAATTAATCTTATAAATTTCTAAAACAAAGCATTCATCATCGATTTGATCGATGCATCAGTTAATGCTGAGGCAGTAACTATATTAAACTAACTTTTTTACAATAGTTTGTAAAAAAATTTAGGAGACCTTGAAAAATAACAGACCAACAGGGTGAAATTCGTTCACATTTCTAAATATGGAATTTAATTACAATTATATATCATTAAATTGTATCATTAATTTTATGTTAAAACATTCTTAAATATTTTTTTCAGTCACTTTGTAATACAAAAATATTACATTTGCGTCTAATGGTATATTTTTAAACTAAATTGATGCATCATCGATTTGATTTCGTGGAATACTGGAGTTTATATATATATATATATATATATATATATATATATATATATATATATATATATATATATATATATATATATATATATATCCTTTGAACAACAGAACGTTGTTGGTATTTGACTCTTTGGCACACGTGGCCATACAGATGGCGGATTTTGGGGCCGCATTTTTATGAACTCCTATAGTATTAAAATTTGAAGGCCAATGTAGTTGACAAATAACTGTAATGTTTGTAACATTCAGATTGGCATTTGGAACTGATTTTCTCCATCGTTCTCGTTAATCTTTGTCTTTTGGAAAACGATAAGCCGATATTTTATTCATCTCATACAGAGATTTGTCTTGATGGCATCTGTAATTTGTTTTACAAACAACGAAAAAGACGCTTTCCGGACATTGCTGGAAACTAGGTAATATTTTAAATGATAGATTAAGCTACTTAAACACAATTATTTCTTTACGTGCTTCAATTTAGGGGCAACTTTTCAAGCCAAATTAATTACACCCTTAATCCCAATTTTTAGCTCCCCCTGCATACGAATAAGTTAAAAACAGAAATTTTCTTAAACCTGAAAATCCACTTTTAAATTGATCTTTTTTTTGTGGGTGGGGGTATACTGTTTTTGAGGTTTGCAAAATATTACATAATCTTTTATTTAATTATCGAGTTAATTAAGAATCTAAATTTCTGGCACTTGTCAACATAAAATCAGTTACTGCCTTGCTCTCTCCCAGACTGCTGTTCCTTCAGGCAA